GACTCGAGCAGTCCGAGCGACGTCAAGGTAAAGAGCGCCATGCTGGAGGGTGGAAACAGCATGCCAAGCAGAATGGCAGTAAGCAGAATGGCGGTAAGCCGAATGGTGGGAAGGCCAATAATGGGAAACACTTCGGGAAGAAGAACAAGAAGGAGTTTAACTCGTCCAAGCAGTTCCAGTCACGTGATAAGACCAACAGTGATAAGTGGTGTAGCTTACACAAGACAAGTTCGCATAGTGACAGCGAGTGTTTTACGCAGCAGAAGAATGCGTCGAGAGGTGGTACTAGTCAGTGGTCAGCAGCAAAGAAAACGGAGGAGGCGAAGATGACAAACGTCGAAGAAATGGCCTCGGATTACTCGTTCAGCGATGAAAGTGAGTGTAAGGTCATCAGCAGAATACTGAATGACAAAGAGCCAGGCAGGAAGCCGCCAATGCGTCTCCGTTTCCGACTGTGTAAGACATTGCAGGAGCGCGTGGCGTTAGTTGACACAGGTTGCGGAACAAGTTTCATCAATGCCGATCTATTAGCAGCTAATCAAGAACTTGGGTTCGAAATGACTCCCTTGGATCGGACTTATGAGCAAGTCGATGGGTATGTCAAAGCTTCAGGGTCTACGCCAGTTCAATTCCGGTTTATGGATTTGAATTATGGATCTCGCATTACGCACACATTTTCAGTCATTAACAACACCAGAGACGAGATGGTGATTGGACGGGATCTGTTGAGTGCACTCGGAGTAATTGTCAACTTCCGGGACGGAATGGTGGAGTGGAAAGGCAACACTGTGGCAGTGAACACTGGAGACAAGTCCAGGGTGAGCGATGAAAGAGGAGGCGAAGACGTGCAGGAGGAGGTGAAAGAAATCAACGACACGTCAGTGGAACCGAAGGATCTGGTGGGAACGGCAGATATTGACCAATCCACATACGAGCAGATTCTGGTGCTGTTAACGCAGTTTGAGCAGCTGTATAATGGACACTTAGGACGGATGACATTTCCAGATTATATTCTGCCTATGGCAGAACAGTACACGCCTGTCCAAGCTCGCCCATATTCGATTCCAAGGTCTGAAGAGAATGCAGCACGAAAAGAGATTCATCGACTCATGCAAGTCGACGTGTTGGAACAGATCTTTGGTAGCGAGTGGTCTTCCCCAGCGTTTTTCTTGAAGAAACCAGATGGACGTCTGAGATTGCTAACTGACTTCAGAGCTTTGAATAAGTTCCTGAAGCGTAACCCATATTACGTACCCCTAATTAGGGATGTTTTCGTTCGACTTGGTGGTGCAAAGTTCTTCTCAACACTGGATGCTAACATGGGATATTACGCTAGACAACTGGCTGAGGAGAGCAGGCCGTTTACTGCATTCTGTACTCCGTTTGGTAAATTTCAGTATAAGAGACTGCCGATGGGAATCTCAACGGCGCCAGACGAATACCAAGCGTGTATGTCAAGAATTTTAGGCGATTTGGACTTCGTTATCGTCTATCTAGATGATATTCTCATTTTCTCCAGAACGGCAGAAGACCATTTGGAACATCTACGAGTGGTGCTTTTCACGTTTTGCAGGAGTTCAACGTGACACTGAATGTAAGAAATG